AGCAGCAGTGGCAACGTTTATATCCATCTGCGGACCCTCGTGCGCTTGATTTATTGGATAAAATGCTAACTTTTAATCCGAACAAAAGAATTAGTATTGAAGACGCTCTTGCACATCCATATCTTGAGCAATACTACGATCCTAATGATGAGGTATGAAATACTCTTCTTTCAATTTGTTTTAATTGAGCTGGTGGCCATGAGGCAATTAGACGGCTAAAAATTGAAAACAACTTTTAACATTCTATCTTATTTGAGCTTAGCATGGTTGAAGGAATTTTTCTTTAGTCCTTAAGTTTTTAGATTTAATGGAGTCGAGTTACTTTTAAACTCTTTCTAAAGATGCTTCTTTTTAAACCAGCTCACTGACTTTGGTTAGATGGAGCGCTGTTGTATTGGTTGCAGATATATGATTGAGAAGTGTAAGCCGGTGTTATGAATTGTATTACTGGGTGTATTTGATTGCCTGAAATATCATAAGAGTTGAAGGTTAACTGTATTATTTATCTGCTGATGAATTAGAACTATTGCTATGCTTTTTGAGCTTTATATTTTGAGGAAGGATTCGTTCTTTGAAATGTAGCAGTAAGAAGCATGGGGAGTTTAGCAGGTTTACTAAACGGGTCATTTTTAAAAGGGTATTAGCCTTTTTTTTTTTTTTGGTGTGTTCTAGTTTTTTTTTTCAGCCAGAATGTGAAGAACCTTTCACACTAGAAATGGAGTACGATGACCTGCCAAAAGACGTTTTAAAAAGACTTATTTTTGAAGAAACCGAATTGCATTACAAGCGAATGCAAGCTGCAAGGAACCAGATGATGCAGTAATGTTCTTATAAACCATAAATCGAGGATTACATCGCTGTAGACCTACAATAGAGGCGGATTTATACTAATGATGTGCAAAAAATTTTTTATATCGAGAATCGAAGTGACTACACAAGGTCTTCAGGTCAACTGGTTATTTAAAACCTTGTACTTTTATTAACTAGTCATTGATTCTTTAAATTATGTTTTTTCAAAAGAATTTCAGAGCACCTTATGCGATCATTCCTATGGTTTTAATAGCAGTTGTATAATTGTGCTCTTGAATTGTATAAACAGATACTGTTTAAAGCCAGGTAGCTTTGTTATTTTGAGTTTTGGAAATACCGGTCAGTATGGAATCCTTGTATATGTCTACTAAGCAAATGAAAAAAAGGTTTAAGTCTTGAATTATCAAAATTTCAAGAAGTTCTCTTTAAAAGTTATTTTTTTTGTTGTGCATAAGTCATAACTGGAGACTCTTGCATTTTTTTAGAATCATTAGTGAAATAAGTTTTTGCAATAGTTATTGAGCCTTCAACAGTCAATTTTGAATGAAAGGAAGCATTCCAATTCATGGTTCTGTGACTGTAGTGTTTTGCATCGGCGCCTGATTTGGAGGGTATCATACAGGGGCTCGTTTGCATGATTTTTGAATCGAATTTAATATGAAAGGATTTTAAAAAATTATTTTGAACGGCACGTTAGTGCGCACTGCTTGATGTGGGCACTGATGAAGCTTTCTGAAATGACACGCTTAATCAGGTGATCTTATTTTATTTATTATTACCGTTGCTTTTTTTCTCAAACAGTTTTGATTGTAAGTTTAATGTTGCTAGTCTTTTTGTTAACGTTCGTATTTCTGTGTTAGTTTTTAATGGTTTTCGAGTAACGTCTTTCATTTAAAAAAAAAGTGACTCACTGAGAGTAGATGTACTATGTTCTTTTCAAATGATTTTTCTGTTTATATTACAACTCAGTTTTACTTAAGTCTGCTCTTATTACTTCAAAACGGACTGTTTTTCAGTGGAAGATGTCGGTGCTTTTTTACTGTAAAGATAATAATGATTCTAACCATCTCTGCTTTTGTTCGTTAATTCGGTGTAGGCATGCTTCGCACTGAATCTGTTTTGCTAATGAAATGGGTTAACTTTTTTTTGTTTACTTCGTTTTGTCATTAGATTTCTTTATTTTGCTCTTTTTGGAGAACAGTGCTAATTTCAGAGGTGGAATTCTGCTACTTTCTCTGTATTTACTTTATCGCGGTGTCGTAATACTTGAAGTTGGAAGTTATAATACCATTTAGGTCTTTTGTATGGGTTTATGTTGTCATCTTATTTGTTCCTTAATTTTGCGAACTAATCTGCCTAGTTCGAGGCTTCACAGACAGATTCTTGGTTCATAAATCAGTTGGTGGTACAATTTGCATCTAGAGTCGCGCGAGTCAAATTTATTTCCCTCTGTAGGATTTTACAAACATATCACTGATGCTCGAAATTGTGTTTTGTAAATTATAAAAGCGAATATTATCCATTTGTCATTTTGTAAACTGTGTCACTTCTGTGATTTCAGTAATAAAAGTATTTTGGAGATGCTTGCTTGTGCCGTCGAAATGCGGTTGTTTTGAAGTTAGTTTTGGGTTTTCTAAAGTTTGGTTCAAGAGAGCATACTGGTGATTACTCAACGTCTTTCTGGATACTTATTGTAAATGGTGTAGTTTTTGAACACTAGTTACGGCTGACAGGATGCAATGTTTTGAGGAACTGTGTAGTGTGCGGGTGTACGCAACATGTAACTAAAGGGCGTTGCAGAACACAGGGGCAGTAGCGGACAACCGAATGCTCCTTTTGTTTCCAAGTAAGATTTTGATGTTACCCGGCTTTTGGAAGTAGGGGCGTATAAGGTCTGGTTTCGCTGTTTTTAGGTCGCTCCTTCATGATGCTGAGTTTTGACTAATTAAGATGGATGCTCTTAATAACCAGCTAGAAGACTATGTTGTTGAGAAGTTGGAAGAAGGAAATTATAAAGCTGTAGAGGCTAAGCTGACGTCTGCTGGTACTGAAGCTGTTACAAATTCTTTTTTTGGTTTGCATTCGCAACTCTTCAGGCATTACGTCAAAGTAGCGGAGGAGTGCTGCCTGGAAAATGAAGATTTGTTGCGGTTTTTGCTGAAGTATATTGCTCAAAGAGCTGATGTTAATTCTAGGTTTGTTAGTTCATTTCTTGAGTTTCCATTTTAGACGTGAACTATAATGACATTTCAAGTAAAAAAAACAGTATTTCTTTGCTGTGGTCAGAGATGGTCACGAGCGGTGTCTTTAACTAATGGTTAAAACCTGTTTCTCGTAGCTGTCTGTATTGGTTAAGAAATATTAGCTGATGATGTAGTAATCTAGGTATGTCTCAGTATTGGAAATATACGAGGAGGTGGCTTCATTAAAGTCATTATTGTACCTGCTTGAAGAACTGCATGAAATTCTACCATCGAATGGAAATTGGTTAGTACTTGGAGTTTGCTCTTAGCCGTTAATTTTTGGAACATTGATTTTTTAGCGAATTGGATTATCCACTGTTGGATGAACTGCGTGATGATGTTCTTCCATATTTCCTCCACAGGATGCGCGGTTTTTTAAACGAGATAGAGAGTGACCAGTACAGTCAAGTATTATTAGCGTCTCTTTCATTCATAGAAGTATTTCGGTAAGTTTTACTTAATTCATTTCTAAGCAGGAACTGTTTTATTATTGCTGTGGAAATTCGTAATAAATAGGGAAGAATAATTTTGAACGCGTGTATGTTTCAGTAATTGTCACTGTGAGAATTATTCGTTAACAGACACTTTGATAACAGATGTGGTCTCTTATCTACCAATTGTTAGTGACTACACATACGAAGTTTTGAAAAAATACGTCTGTTGCTACAAGGAAAGGAATAAAGATGTATCTCCGTACCCGGTCTTATTAGCAGTAAGCCTTCAAAGTGGAGACGGTTCTTCAGCAGTTGGATGGCTAATTCCTTTTTTAGTTTATTCGCCTAGCTATAATGCAGATCGTTGCTTTCCTATATTTTTGAAATGCCTGGAAACGTCGGAAAATAATTGTTATAGCCTATCTTTCGTAAATAATTCATTGAAAGCCATTATATATCCTGTTGAAAATGAAACGTTACCACGGAACTCTCTTGCCAGTCATATTGTAAGTCTTTACATATATGTTTTTAGTCTTATCAGTTTTTTACGGTTTGAGTAGCCAAGTTAACTTACTGTTGTCAGCCATTTTTTTTCTAGGATTTTTTGGGACAGTATTTGGCTTCAAGCGTTCATCCTGCTATGCATGAAAAATTACGACGTGACTGTTTGGAAGTTTTTAGGGAGTTGATTCTCAAATATGAACCGGTTGCACAAGTTTTGCTTATTCGACGCATTATAAGTTTAATAATGCGCGATAGTTATGAGTATGTTGGTTAATTGCTCATCATTTTAGCATCCTGAATCTCTCACTGAGACAAATCTTGCTTTTATTCGGAATTTTAGGAATATCTTGGAGCCTCAAGCTATAGCTTGGCTTTTAGACTATTACAGAAGCCAGTTGGGAAAACATTACTGCTTCAAAGCTGAACTTGGCTTTTTGTGGGGCGATTTATCAGGAATTCATTATGAAAACTTGCATGGTGCTGTGAATTATTACGCTGCTTTGATGATTTTAGCGCAGTATCAAGCCTTATTAAAAGTCAATAAACCACTTCTGAAAGCTGTGAGGAAGGAGGTCCTGGAACCCCTTCAAGCAAACATTGCGGAATGGAGCCACTTGACAGAAATGAAGAAAACCAAAGAGCAGGAAACACTTCCGTATTTGCAAACAATGATGCATGAGACGTTTAAATTTGTGGATAACTTTTTAGAAGAAATTTCTCTTCCTTAATCGAGCATTTATTGGTTATTTGTGCAGATGAAATTGGTATTTAACAATATAATCTTCCTGAGAATGCTAGTGGAACAGTTTTTAAAATTCACTTTCAATTACTGGTAGAAGGGTTTCATTGATTGTTGATCTAGTGCATTTGGAAGTAACCATATTTTAAAACCGACATATTATATGTTCAAACTGCTCTTTTCAGCGAGCAGAGCACTTCATTTAATAAATAATTTGTTCTAGTTTTAAAGAGCATGGTAATTGAGGTAATGCAATTGAAAAATATATGAGGTTTTGGGACTTTGTTGTTCATGTTAAATAAATCTGATCAAAATGAAATGTTGTTATTGACGGTAGACAACAAAGTAAAAATGTCTGATTATTTCGGTGAAATGAAGTTCCATGTTACTATTAGTCAGAACTGAAAAAATAAACAATTTAAAGGGGGGAGAACTAAAATCATGGTTATCTGCGATAGTGTCTAGCATTTCATTGTTTTGCATTGTCGAAACTTTAAACATCATTTATCGACATTAAGCATCAATGTTTTGAAAATGGTGATAAGAGAGTGAAGAGATTGGGAAATAAAAGAGGACATGTTGCTTTTACAACGAGAATTCCGTTGAGAATTCCAATGTTGCGTGAGCATTTATATTTAACTGTTCAATAAGAGTGTGCTCATGACTCGGACTCGGAAATGCATGCTACTACTACGGTTAGTTGCTATATAATGAATGTCATTAATTGAAAACATTTGTTTGCCCAGTTAGCATGACACCTGGTTCCTGAGACACCTGTAACCGTTAAGCTGTTGATTTACGTAATGGACCAGACGTTCAAGAATGTATCTTTGCTTGATCGGTGACAGTTAGTGGATGCAATCCCGTGACTCTCCTTTGAACTTTCCGCCAAGCTCAATTGTTCCAGCATCATAAATTGCTTTTGCTTTCTTTCCACTTGAGACGTATTTGTCCGGAACGTAAATGGTAATTTTTCTTTGACATGGCTGAAAAACTTAGTTTGAACAAAGAGCAACTGAAGTGGTTCTAAGAAGTTGAAAAACTCGGTGTGTATTTATTATCTCTAATTTACCTTCAGTTCATCGTTGCAGTCATGGTAGATATTTATTTTCGGGTCAATAGTTGTTATTTCGGAGGTGTAACCTTCAAGCTCGAAATAACCGCGTGAGTCGGTTTTTGTCGTCGCCATTAGATCATCAGTATCGATTCCTAGAAAAAAAATAAAAAAAATATAAAAATTGAAAAAAAAAAGGAATATTGGATTTGATACCGATAAACCGCCAACGACTACTGCCCAACACCTCGCTAATTTCTCATGGTATTTAAATCTGCTGAAGAAAACCAACAAGTATTGTCGCTATCTAACACTTTACACCATATATGGCAAAGACGATTAACTAGGATGTGGGATTCCTGAGAATGGAGGAAAAAAATCGAGGAGGGAACTTACCTCTGTCGTCGTCGTACAGCTTTACAAGCACTCCAGCAGCTGGTCTTTTGTTGCAAGTTAGTATACCTTTGGCACCAGAGCTTTGAGTCCTTCCAAGAAGCCCACCTAAGGCGGCTTCCGTGGCCACAATGAGAGCACAGAACAAGAAAATCTTCATTCTTGGTTATTACTCTGGAAGCAAAAATAAAATAACTGGTGGACAAAAAACAACCCGACTTAGACCATCGATAATGTTTATGAAAAACAAGACACAGAGCTGAAAAACTTTTTTGTTTTTACAACAGTTTATTATTATTATTATTATTATTATTATTATTATT